GGCTGGGCGCTCTCCCGCCCCCCCCCCCACAAAGCACAAGTGAGTCCGGCCCGGGGATTCTATTGTGCCTCCCCCACCCTCTCGAGTAGTTGTGAACTGTCTGGCTGGTAGACACACTCATGCAGTCTGAGCACATTTACCAGCCAGGCAGTTCGAAACTACAAACTGATACATCTAATAATAATAAAACATACCTAATGAGAAAATACCAAACATGTTCTATGTCTGGTATTTTCTCAGTTTGTTTTTTATGTGTTTATATTTTTGGGCTGCAAAAAGCAGTACTGAAAAAAAAGGGTTCCAACTAAAGTAAAAAGTTTGGGAAACCCTGGTCTAACCAGCTTTCTGTCTGTCTTACAGTCCATTTATCCAATTCATATTCCTTAACTTGAGGGCAAGAATATTGTGGGTGACCATATCAAAAGCTTTGCTAAAGCTAGCACTGGGGCTTTGAGAGGACTAGAAACAACTTACTTGAACATTCATCATTTGATTAATGAATATGCAAATATGCAAATGAATGTTACCGGTCCTCCAAAAGTTCGTGAATTGATTTACTGGTCCCCATGTCAAAAAGTTTGGGAACCCGTGCATTAGAGTATTTGAGAAGAGGATCTGGAACTTTCTCCATGCCATTCTCACAGATTGCTTTTGGATTATACGCTGTGCATTTTTCTTGTAGATAATTTGCCAGGAATTAATGTGTAGAGGATGAAAATTTTTAAGTGATTATCTAGCAATTCATTAGTCAAAAGTAATAGCATTATAAGACTTTCTTAATACCGATGACCATTCGTACTGGCACTTACCAATAGGAAGCTAGGCTGTTGTAAGTGAGGAACAGCCATAACTGTCTTTCTATAATACTCAAAATGGCCTCAGGAAAACACTGCAAAGAAAAGTCAGAAACATCTTCATGAATATTAAAATCTCATGTTATAACACTGGTAAAACTCACTTTCTGATACGTTTACGTTTATGCACAAAAACAGGCAAATGTATGTTTATTATGGCTCTGTGACGGGATTAAACCAAGACAGATCCCTAACAATGGTAACTACATTATATTCCCCTTATAGTTGCTAGCACATTCATAATGAAAACATAAATGAGTGGGAGGCAAAAGGGGGATGCAAAAAGAGCCTTGCTTATAGACTGCAGCTGCTGCAGGAGCACAAAACCGTACCTGGGGGTGCAATTCATACAGCATGGACTGTATGACGTGTTCAGGGAAGCACTGGTCCAGCTGCAGAAAGAAGACACTACCCAGATGAGAGATTGCAAACAATTAAGGCTACAGTTCCCCCTGAGGTGGTGGCTACCGACATGGAGAGCACAAGCACATTACCCCCAAATTGCTGTCTCTCAGGAAAGAACAAAGAAGGGACTAAGAGAAGCAGGCTCCTGGAAGATTTTCTCTTGGCTAGGGAGCAGGGGTGCTTAGACCCCTCTAGGGCCCTGAATGCTGAGGTCCCAGCAGCCTCCCCCTGGGGAGGAAACCCTAACTTTTCATTAAAAGGCAAATTGACCTTTATTAGCATGAATACTTCCATCAATTAAATTTTCAGTTTATAGATTTACTTAAGCATATTATAAATTATTATTCAATTGTGTTATTTGAAATTCTTTCAGACAGATGGCTTAGTTACATATCCATGGTTTTGTCCATGGTTCTTTTTTCATACTCAACCTTTGGGGCATCTCATCTGTAGCACTGTGATGACTCTCACACCTAGATCTCTGCCCAGCCCTGTCTTCTTCTGAAATAAAATCTCAACCTGTCTTTCCTTCTTTTTACCTGTTCATCTAGTTATAGCTCAAGCAAAACTATGTTCCTACTCTTCTTGCCCTCCCCATTAGCTCTTTCTTATCATTGTGGAATATACTACCATCCTGCTGCTCAGAGATACCCACAGCTGGGTGTAATCACTGACTCAGATCTTTGCATAGGTCCTCACCTCTAATGCATACACAAGCCTTGATTCTTTCTGCATATCATCTATAAAATGATGCTTTGCCTATCTCTTGTCCATCCTCTCATCATCCTATGGGTCTATCCATGCAACAACCTTTTCCGTGGAATTGACTGGTGCAGTCTTATGCTGATCATCTCCATTCAAAAAGCTGTAGTGAAGATCATTTTCCCACCCCATCACATTGATGCTGATACCCCTCTCTGTGCATTCCTCCACTGACTCTCCTTCTTTATTGTATCAAACATAAGCTGCTTATGCTCCCTTTCAAAGCCCTTAATGGGTAGAGAGGGGATTAACAACCATTTCTTATTTGCTATTAAGCTGTTGATTCTCTCCTCTAGTCTGCTCATCATACCAGCCTCCATTGCCAGCTAATTAAATTTCCAAACACTTCTGCCATGCTTCTCCATAGGTTTGAGGTGCTCTGTGTAAAAGTTTGCAAAGCTCCTTCATTATCCACCATCAAAACCTCTTCAAAAATCTATTTTGTTGTGATGCCTACAAGAACCTTGACCACCTTTAAGTAGCTGTGGGAACATGCCACTGCTTATCTTCTGATTGTTTACTTGTATTCCCCTATCTTTCTCTATCCATCTGACTTTTATATTTAGATTGTAGGTTCCTTAGGCAGGGTCCTTATTTTTGTACTGTTTGTACCACATCCACCATAATGTGTTTCTGGTCATTGACAGGACTTCTTGGGCCTACAGGAATAACAATAAATAGAAAAAGCAACAAGGAGTCCTGTGGTACATTATAGACTAACAGATGTATTGGGGCATAAGCTTTCATGGGCAAAGACCCACTTCATCAGATGCATGTGGGTCTTTGCCCACAAAACCTCATGCTCCAACACATCTGCTAGTCTATAAGGTGCCACAGGACTCCTCGTCGCTTTTAACTTGGTTACTGCACGCCCAGCGCTAGGACCTCCTAGCATGTTTCACTGTCCCATGCAGTGGCACTTATTGGACTTGCAGAGAGAGATCAGAACCAGGGAGCTCTAGGGCCTCAGCTGAACTCCAGCTGGATTTATAGCTCAAGCTGTAGTAGAGGCTTCAATGCTTGAGCTGTAGAGATCCCAGGTTCAAATCCACCTGGTGGTGTATGGGTTACACTAGCAACGTATTTTCCGGTGTATAGGGCGACTGGGCGTATAAGACAACCCCCTAATTTTTTAATTAAAAGATAGGGTTTCATCTTATAGCCCAGGCTCCCGGTGTCCCTGGTCTGCTGGAGACGGTTCCCAGCAGACCAGAGGCACCAGGAGCAAAGCCGCAGCAGCTTTGCAAAGCCTCGGGGGAAGCCAGCGGGGGGGCATCCCAGGCGCGCCTGGGATGTATACCCGGCGTACAAGACGACCCCCGATGTTTGGGGGATGTTTTTTAACATCAAAAGTCGTCTTGTACGCCAGAATATACAGTATGTACAAAGCAGCCAGCAGAAGGCCCAACTCCTCCCTTTAGGTATGTAAGGATGCTGCTCACTCATAGGCACTACTGCCCAGCTCCAATTGGTGAGCGTGGGGGCTGAAAGTGGAGCTTATTATCCCTAATGATCTGTGACCCCCTCCTTGGGAGCTGGAGCTGGCCACCTCCGGGGGGGGGGGGGACAGGCAGGAAGCTTGCTTTAGTACCCTCAGCAATGCAAACCAGTGTCTGATCCAGTAGTGGGTGGCAACTGTAGTTTGACAACCACTGATCTATAGGACTCATAATAAAAGCACAAAAATTGGTGACTGTGATGTGGGAGCTAGCAGATCTCTCCTCCTTCAGTTTGTAAACACAGATTTTCCATGAAAACAAACAAACCTAAATACTTGGGGGATGCTAAATGTGTGAAATCAAATGCTCTTGAATAAAAGCACCTCAGCAGAGGCATAATTAGTATTAGCACTAGGGATGTTAAAGACTAGTCGACTATCTGATAAACATTTGCTTGTCAAAAGACTATCTGATTAGTCTAGTCGATTCCTCCCCACCCCCTTGCTGCCTCTATGAGATTGAGGCAGCAAAGGGTGCGGGAAAGGTACTTCAAAGCAGCAGCGCCCCACACAGCTGTGCAGGATACTGCCGCTTTGAAACCCCAAAGCAGCGTTTCAAAAGGGCAGCCGCTGCATAATGCCACTTCCACATGTATCAAAGGGGCAGCAGTGGAGCCCCGGATCAGCTGGGGACTTCCCAGCTGATTCTGGGCTCTGTGTGGCATTTCCCCAGAATGCAGGGTTAGTTGGGGGAAGTAGGAATGCGGAAGTGCCTATTGACTAGTCGACTAGTTGATGGAATTTCAAAAAAAAGATATTTTTGCCATTGGAAAGGGTTCAGAAAAGGAGGGATGAATAATAATATGATAAATATCATCATGCCACTGTTTCAAATCCATGGTACACCCACACCTTGAATATTGCAAGCAATTGTAGTCCTCCAACTTAAATAAAGTTAGGTTATAATTGGAAAAAGTTCAGAGAAAAGCAACAAAAATGATATGGGATATGGGACAAGTCATACAAGGAGAAGTTAAAAGGACTGGGACCATTCATCTTAGAAAGTTTTTCTTGACACAGCACGTAGTCAACCTGTGGAACTCCTTGCCAGAGGAGGCTGTGAAGGATAGGACTATAACAGAGTTTAAAGAGAAGCTAGATAATTTCATGGAGGTTAGGTCCATAAAAGGCTATTAGCCAGGGGATAAAATGGTGTCTTTGGTCTCTGTCAGAGGATGGATAGGGATGGCAGGAGACAAATTGCATGATCACTGTCTTCGGTCCACCCTCTCTGAGGCACCTGGTGCTGACCACTGTCGGCAGACAGGATACTGGGCTAGATGGACCTTTGGTCTGACCCAGTACTGCCGTTCTTATGTTCTTATTAGTCAATTAACCGGATTTTAACATCCTTAATTATCATGAAAAATGATCACTGATGAAGAATTTGCATTTAATTGCTGGTTGAGGCAGAGAGCTTCACGTAGGACAGGTTTGATACCCTGCAGTCTCCATTGATTTTGAGGGCCACATCTTTGAGGAGAAATTCATGGTTGTCAGGGCAGGATAAATACAAGGCTGTAGAGCAGGAGTGGGCAATCATTTTTGGCCCAGAGCAGCCCCGGAAGGGGCGGGGCCTAAATCAGAAGGGGCGGGGCCAGGATGGTTCTGGGCTTCTCCATCCTCGGACCATAATTGGCCCCCCCTTCCCACTAGGCACACACGTCTCTGGCAGGGTGGGAAGAGGCTTCGCACGCTCCCCCACCTCCTGGGGGCAGGGGAAGTGCACGTTTCCTCTGCCCTGCCAGGAGCACGTAGCACGTCACACACTATGTGTGTGTAACCATGGAGGTTAACTGATGAGCCCCAGACTCATTGGTTAATCATATACACCTTTACACCTTCACATCCCTAGTTGTTAAGAGTAACTTCCATTTGGGAGATAAGTGTGGCAGGATTCATGGAGACAGTTGTAAAACATCACTGTTGGTTTTAAAAATTATTGATAATGCACCCATCCTAAGAGAACAACATTGTGAAACTCCTTGCAATGGATAAAGATGAATTAATCCCTGGACTCAAAGTTGGTGATTGCTGAGGGACCAATGATCATGGCCTGATTACTTTCAATATGGGCAAGCAGAGAAGAGTCCCAACCAGTTATATATAAACTTGGTGCTTGAAAAGAAATACTTTTCCAAAGTTAGGAAAATTATGAGTAAGATGTATTGATACATGACTGAAAAATGTAAATGAACAGTGGGGCTATGTCTACACAGGAGGGCTGTTGTGCCAGAAATATGCAAATGAGGCTAAGCGTGGAATATCACTGAGCCTCATTTGCATACCTAATGAGCCGCCATTTTTGAAGAAGAGGCTCTTGCGCGAGAAGAAGCGTCTACACTGTCCCTTCTTGCGCAAGAGCCTCTTCTTCAAAAATGGCGGCTCCTTAGGTATGCAAATGAGGCTCAGTGATATTCCACGCTTAGCCTCATTTGCATATTTCTGGCACAACAACCCGCCAGTGTAGACATAGCCTGGGAGTTCTTCAAGAAAGGTTTATTAGTTGGCTAAGACAAAGTTCCACTTTGGCTGAAGATACGTCCTAGTTCAGAGGTGAAGCGAAGTCAGCAATATATAACATACAGAAAAAAAAGAAGAAACAGATACTAATCAATATAAGAAGTTAAGAAGTGTAGAAAATTCATAAATGAAGCTAAATGTATCAGGACAACATATATGACTAGCAGGGCTGAAGACAATAATGATCTTTTAATGTATATTAGGGACAGAATTAATCCTAGCAATGTTACAGGTCCATTATTAGATGGAGATGATAATATTGTTAATAATGTTACATTACAGGCAGAAATGTACAATAAACATTTGTCTTGTATTTGGAAAGAAACAAGATGGTGCATTTGAATCACATAAGGATGATAAAGTACA